TGAATCATAAACCTACTGATGGAGTTCATCGAGTTCATGTTTCTTGGGCGCCTTTGTAAACGATCCTGATAACGGATGGATTATTGGATAGTAATGGTAGTGATAGTGTTGTATCCCAGGCGGCTTCTTTTTTGCTTCAATATTACCCTTTAACGAATTGACAATGTTCGATAAGAGCTTCTTAGGACTGAAACATAAATATCCTTTATATATAACACCTTTCAGTATATCTACACGAATCCACTGAATGCACCCCGAACAATTGTTAAGTGTTGCGCTATTTCTGAAAATGAAAAATATTTTTCGAATAGTACTTTTACGTGCGTGTAACTCAAATTTCATGTGATAATTCCAATTAAAGTTGCTAACGGAATAAAAAAAGATTGAAATGAGAATTTGTAAAATTTTTAACGATGTTGAAAATCAATTTCTATGACTTTAATAACAATTTTCTATGCGTGAATTTACATAAATGAAACTGTAAAATGTCTTACTAGTTAAAGAAGAATCCTTCACTCGACGTAACCAACAGTATCGTTATGAGTAAGGTGAACTAGAAATTATAAAGAAAACGATATATATTATATTTAATTCTAAACACCCCGACTCACAGTATGCATTGTAACTTTTTATGCGAGAACTTATTATTTAAATTATCAATATCATAGCACTTTCAAAAATAGAGAACCTCTATCACAGAAATACAGAGACCCACAAAAATGCTCGTACACCATTTAAAACACAATAACTTGTTTAAAACTGAATTAAATGACTTGAACTTTTTTTTTAGCTGATAGAGAGATTAGTCTATTAAACGATGACTAAAATGCTTCTTCTTAAATTTTGCAATTCTTGGAGTAACAAAAAAATAAAAGATAAAAACTCTCCTTTTTTAACTTTTTTATCTCAGTCTATAACGAAAATTTAAAAAATACTTTTCGAAGATCGCGGTAACTTATATGCGCGAATTAGGGAGAAATTACTGTATATCGAAACATCAACATCTGTGAAAAGGAATATTTACCTCAGGAGCTCAAGCATACTACAACTACCCTTTAACGAAACAGTTTCACCGGAATTAAAATAAATCGCGCAATAGGCAGAATCAGAGATTCCAAAGATACAGACCGATCGCATAAGTAAAGTACTCATATAATACTAAAATATTAAAACCATCTTCACCACTCATGCAAAAATCGGACAGACGTTCACATCTCCCAAAGATCCACAGCCGCAGCTTTCATCGATGAAGATCTACGAAATTCCCTGCTCGTGTGGCAGAGGTTAAATTGATCAAATTGGGAGAAACGTAAGCATTCGACTAAAAGAACATGGACATCAACTTCAATCAGCTGCAGCAGAATATCAAATTGAAACAGAATGATAGCAAAAACTAGGGGATACATTCCAAGAAAGTACAGAGAAATGTTGGAGATAATGGAGGATTCTGATAAACATCAACGGGGATAAAGGTCGTCGCATGAACTCAATCCGGAACACCCTTCTCCCAGTTTTTCGTAGCTGAAAGATTAAAAAGTCGTTTTGATTGGTAAGCAATGAACCGGTACGTGAATAGACTACATTTAGTGGAACTTCACCAATCATACATCAGTATCATTGTCAAAGACCAACTGACTAAGCTAACTGCAATGCTTGCGAAACGTTGGGAAATTAATTCCACCAGGATGCGATTTATACCCCCGATAGCCTCGACGGTAAGAACTGTACAATGCCAGGCTGTGAAAGCCCTGAATCTCTAATTAAAAAGTTAGAGTGGCAGTAGTCACATAAAGTAATCGGAAAACAGTTTCTTTCTATTAAAGATAGAAAGCAAATAACTTTTATTTATCAGATTTTCTCCAATTTTATCAATAGAGTAAATTCTCCCCAATTGTCCCTCAGTATGGAAACGAAAATGGACAACTTGGAAAAGGAGATACGATCATTCGAGCCTTACCGCTGGTTTTTATAATTGCCAATTATGAACAACTATAAAAACGTAGCCACGAGAATAGAATAATCGTATCTCCTCTTCCCAAGTTGTTGTCCATTTTTGTTTCCACCGCGAGAGACAATTTGAGAAAATTTATCGTACCAACAAGTAGTATTGACTTGAAATATTTCCAGCACATCGATTTAACAGTTTAGTATTTCATTAGAAATTAACTGGTAACGCATTTTTCGACTTCAAATGCTTTGCTTATAGGTACATTACAAACAACATTACAAACATAACGCGAACTGTACAAAATTAGTTTGGCAAAGATATATTTAAGCATTTCAGCTACGTCTGTTAATTCAGAGCGTTTATTCTCTACAGCTGGAAATGTATAATATAGTGATGACACTGTATATGTATAGTGATGAAAAAAAGCAATAGTTCATTGTCAGGAAATGTTGATTTGACCGGGTATCTCACGGGTACCCGGGTAACCGAGTATTTCATAGCCCTTGTTGTAATTATACAGAAGAAGAAGAAACTTATTATGCATAATTGCAATAGATTAACATCGTGTACCATATATTCGAAAACACGCGTTAAGAAGCACATTTTTACGTATAATAACAATTTACTTGCAACAACAATTCCGTCTTCATAGTAACAGTTTACTTCACAAACAGGAATGGTTTATCGAGTATGTGATTCGCGTGACAAACTGAGAAATCCCATAAACCAAGATGCTCTTATATCTACCAGCTGGCTCTCTTTCCCCCAAGTGCCTCGAGGATCCTAGATTAGTTTTATTCTCATCGAAACGTGTTAGTTCTCCCGACTTTGCTTGGGAAACCCAATCATGCACACGTGCCTCTTAACTAGTTTCCATCACTTTCAAATCGAAGTAAGGAATATCTGGTGACATTATCCTCGAAGTAAATGTTAAAATTTACTAATTTGCAGGAAATAATGTGAAGTAATATTTGAATAACTTGCGAAAGAACAGATATCGAAAATGATTGCTAGATTTATATATTTGATGTATAAATTAAGTAATTTGTACCTTTCTTATCAACACTATCACTATTATAGAATGTACATTAGTGTTTTAGCAAGAGAACCACCTGTGTTAACACAGATTCGTTATAAATTACGCGTTAGAAAAATTCATATTTTCTATAATAGAATATATTGGGTTGGCAACTAAGTAATTGCCGATTTCAGTTATAGATGTCTCCCATTTTTATGATATCCGTAAATGTTATATTATAAAATTATTATTATTATTATTATGTTATTTTTTATTATCCGTGAATGTTAGAAACTGGACAAATTGAATGCAGCGGTCAAGGAAAAGCGACCAGAATTGGTCAATCGTGAAGGTGTCATTTTCCAGCAGGACAATGCTAGGCCGCACACGTCTTTGTCCGCTCGGCAAAAATTGATGGATATTGGTTGGGAATTGATGTTTCACCCACCATATAGCCCTGATCTCGCACCATCGGATTACCACTTATTTCGATCCCTGGACAACTCCCTTCGTGGTAAAACTTTTAATGACGATGACGCTGTAAAATCTCACTTAACTCAGTTTTCGGCCGAAAAGGATCAGACTTTCTACGAGCGTGGAATTTTCAAGTTGTCAGAGAGATGGCGAAAGGTCATCGAACAAAATGGAAAATACATTACAGATTAAACTTCGTTCCAAGCGAAAAAAAATTTTTTATTTCACTGAACAAATCGGCAATTACTTAGTTGCCAACCCAATATAACATTTTTACACGCCTACAGCAATTTTCATTACAATGTTGAACTTTGTCCGAATTCTTCGGTGCATTAAATATTAGATGTTTATGGGAGTCGTAAGTGAAATGCATACAATAAGCCGTGCCTGTGCACCAGATCAACTTGTTTCTTAGTAGTTCACTTTCGCTTCCATGGCAATGATCTTGAAAGATAAAATAAGAATAAGATGAAAATGCACGCGCGAGAGTAAATGTGGAAGTAAGAGAAATTGCGCGTGCTTCTTACATGCTATCGTTTAATATTAGGAGTCGCATTACAGACATTAACTTTTCTTGATGAATGAACAAATAATCTAAACGAATGCTTGCATTTACACAGCTTACGAGTTAAATGATTTTATGCATAATTCAATAAACCTTGATCTTAAAAGATTTTAATTGGTGCTTAAAAAGGTGCAGCTGTCTCTCTCGTGTTCAACAATGCTTTTCCAAAGTAAAAATGATACTTATCTTTTTCAAAAAGTTATTATTAGTAAGTTATCTTTACATTTTCACTAATTAGCTATCAAAATTTCCAAGAAACAAAACATATTCTCTTAAACGTGACACATTTATGCGGCTTAATCACACATACGTATTTAGAATACATATTTTACCGTACGTTCGTTAAAAGACGAAGTCATAAAGATAATCACTCATTTAGCGACACCAAGTGACATGTTTTATGACAAAGTAAACTGATTGAAAGGAAAATCAGTATGAACCTGTAACATACAACTTTCGTCTTTTTCATTATTCTTGCGGAGAAAGCTCTGTAAAAGGGAACAATTCTCGGCCGTTTTTCAGTTTATTACTACGTACGTGTAACCAGTTCCATTCTTAACCACTACCTCGTTCATCATAAAAGAATCTATTTTTCCCTACTCTTTTACGCTTTCAAACGCGATTGTTTAAGTTTTCATTGCAATTCAGTTTAATAAATAATTTAATTTTGTAAAAATATTGTTTCACTATCGATCTCATGCCGTGTTACAGCTGTCCCAGGACGGTTGTAACACTTTCACCAGTGTCCATTTTTTGTTAATGACTAAAATTCATTAAACGTTTTTACTATTTTGCATTCGACTTGCTCCGTTTTGTCATAAATGGTTAAGATCCACAGTCTATGTATGACTGAACGTTTTTATGGTAATAACTAAAATTTGTGCAAGAACCAAATAGTTTTCACTAATGTAATTAAAAATGTTAACAGTTGCACTGTATTCAAGCTTGAGAAGAAAATTTAACTTTGGTAATTGCTTATACTGTAGAAATTTAAATTACTTGAACATATAATTAACAAATTTTTAATCTTAACAGATAATTACTTTAATATTTCGTTTCTTAATATATAATAATATAATAATATATATATAATATATAATAATAATAATAATAATAATAATAATAATAATAATAATAATATATAATAATAATAATATATAATAATATAATAATATTTCGTTTCTTAATTGCAGTTCAGTTTCACAGAATAATCCAGCGATTAATGTTATTATTGAATTCAGCGCGATTATAATATAAGTAATAAACAAATACAATTATTGAAATTAGAGAAAGAGGAAGTGAACTGTGTGATACAGATCTTCCTATCCTTGAAGTATGCTGCTTCCATACACCTTTCTCCGTTATCAGTAATAAACAAATACAATGATTGAAATTAGAGAAAGAGGAAGTGAACTGTGCGATACAGATCTTCCTATCCTTGAAGTATGCTGCTTCCATACACCTTTCTCCGTTATCGCTTCAAGTAAACATGTTCTACTTTATACAATATATAAATCGAAATAATCGAATATCGGTCTAATGCGTGTACGTCTTATTCTTCTTTCTTTTCACTCTTTCGAATCTAGAAAGCATTAATAAAAGCAAAACGCACCGCGATAAGATTGTTAAGAACATAATTAATCTATTTTTGTCAATATAATTTTCGATAAAATAAATTTTATCCGTAATATTAGGTATTACAGAAAATATTTAAACATATTGTACTGTTAACTAATCCTATAAACATATCGTGTTATTTTAAAATTGCATAAACAAAGTAAGTAATGTTTTTCAACCGTCAGTATTTTAAAAAAATATATTTCTTTAATAAATTAAAGAAATTATGACTTAAAATATTATTAAAATAATTATTAAAATAAATATATTAAAATAAAATATTATTAAAATAATTATTAAAATAATACCTCGAAGTAACAC